CCACCCATGTCCTGGGTCAAGCCTACATACCTGAGAACAGATGGGAGGGGGTGCCTCAGGTAGGGGAGTCTGTTAGCTCCACCCCTCACACTCACACTGGACACCCCCCTCTGCCCCCAGACCTGTGTACAGCCCCTGCCCGTCTCTGGGCCAAAGAGCAAACTCAGGCCACTCATCTCACTTTCAGAGCCGCAGTAAAATGGGGAGTGATGACAGCTCTCCTAGAAGAGGGCAATGCACTCGCCCTACCCAGAAACCCAGTGGGAGGGGGTACCAATAGCCCCCCCTGACTGATGTGGTGAAGCCACATGGTCACACTGGTGCTGAAGCAGGCCATCTCACACCTCCAGGCCAGTGGATGGCAGGCCAGGTCACTCCATCCCTCAACTCTCCTTCCCCTCCTCCCCCAGCCCCTGGGGCAGGTGTGGGGGAGGAGTACCTCCTACTCAGTACCTCCTACTCGGACCCTACTGCCTTCTTCCCCTCCACCCTTTTTTCCTTGTGGCTTCTGGGGCCCTGAGGGGCTGCCAGTGCCACAGGACACCCCTCAGCCAAGGCAGGCCCAAAAGAGGGCTGGAGTTGGGCCCCTGTGTGGTGCCTGAGGAAGTGGGAATCAGGGGAGCCCAGAGGGAAACCCGGAAAGAATCACATCAAACCCTCCAGGCCTTTGCCCTCAATGCCCCTCCCTGGAGCCCTCTCCCCACAGACAGTTTTCTGTCCCTCCCATCCTCCCTTAATGGGGTTTTCTCCTTAAACCTCACCTTATCAGTCTCCCCGAAACCCTGTATAGACTGGCTGGGGCCACTTGTCTTGCCCGGGACTCCCCACTCCTCCCTTATGATGCTTTATTTTCCCCAGGACACGTATCACCTCCGACACACTGTTTAACTTCCTTATTGTGTCCCTCCCCCATCAGAAATAAACCCTGAGAACATCGCTACCTAGAAGTGTCTCCATAGATAAAAATGTTATGAGAGTATCATAAACATGCATGCATCTAAAGTGTGCAGCTTAATATATCTTTCTATCAAACCACCACTCAGTTCAAGGTATAGAACATTTCCAGAAGGCTCCTCGTGCCCCCTCCTAGTCAACCCCCATCCGGAAGTAACCATTTATTATTACTAGAGGCCTGGTGCAAGAAAATTCATGCACTGAGGGTGGGGGGAGTGGTCCCTCAACCCAGCCTGCCTCCTCTCACAGTCTGGGAGCCATCAGGGGATGTCCTACTGATGGCTTAGGCCCTAGGCCCTTGCAGCCGCTGTGGCTTTGTCTGGATGGACGTCCGGAAGATGTCTGCTCTAATTAGCATATTACCCTTTTATTAGTATAGATTATTTTAGTCCTCACCAGAGGATATTTTTCCATTGATTTTTAGAGAGCGTGGAAGAGAGAGGGAAAGACAGAAATTTTGATGTGAAACACATCAATTGGTTGTCAGAGCCTGAAGTAACTATTATACTGACTTCTATACCCATGAATTAGTTCCACCTGTCCCTGAATTTCATGTAAATGAACAATGTCTCAGTGTGTACTTTTTTTTTTTTCTGGCAGGACTTTGGCAAAGGGATTGTTGACAGGTGTAATAGCAGGGCAGCCAGCCAGCCAGGGAGGTGGCACCCTGGAAACAGACCATCCAAGGTCTCCACGGTGTGTACTCTTGTGTTTGGCTTCTTTTGCTCAACATAACATCTGCAGGATTCACCCAGGATGTTGTAAGACTGGTTTGTTCTTTTTTGTTCTTGTTGTTAATCCTCACCCAAGGATATTTTTCCATTGATTTTTAAAAAAATATGTTTTTACTGATTTCAGAGAGGAGAGATAGAAACATCAATGATGAGAAACAATGATCTGCTGCCTCCTGCATGCCCCCTACTGGGGATTGAGCTCGCAACCGGGACATGTGCCCTTGACTGGAATTGAACCCGTTCACAGGCTGACTTTATCTATTGAGCCAAACCAGCTAGGGCTCCCCCTCCTTAACACCCCACCCCCATTGACTTCTTTTGAGAGAGTGGAAGGAAGGGGGATACAGAAACATTGATGTGAGAAAGAGACACCGATTGGTTGCCTCCCGCAGGCACCCTACCAGGGCTGGGGATTGAGCCTGCAACCCAGGTACGTGCCCTTGACTGGAATCCAACTCAGGATCCTTCAGTCCAAGGGCCGATGCTCTATCCACAGAGCCAAACTGGCTAGGGCCTGGCTCCTTCTTTATTGCTGTCTGTGAAGCAACATCCTACCACTGATTTACCCGTGCTCTTGCTGATGGGCATTCGGGCTGGTTTCCACTGGGGACTATGAGCATTCTGGTGTGTCTTGTGGTGGACGTGTGCCTCGGGGGGACTGCTGCATGACAGGACAGCGTATATTAAGACTCAATGAGAAACCGTTTCCTAAGGTGGTCGCACCAACTGATATTCCCACCAACAGCTTGAGTTTGGGAGTCGCCACCTCCTCTGCAGCACTTGGTGGCGTCAGACCTCATAGTGTTGGGTGTGAGACCGCATCTCATTTCCCTGCAGAGTGATGGCATTGATGCTCAGTAAACGTTTGCTGGATGAATCCTTAGATGGGCTGTGGAGGGAGGCTCTCCACTCGGCAGGGACGGTGGGATGATACCCTTCACATGACGGTCAAGGCCCCTGACTCCCACACTGGCCTCAGAAGCTGCCCCATTTCACACACTAGTCACACTTACACTCTGGCGTGCAGCCGAGGCAGGCTGAGACATTCAGACAGGACTTGGCTCTTCGATGACAGAGAATAAAGAAATACATTCATCAGGTCCCAGGTGGAGCTCTGCAGATGGGGTAGTCACAGGCTGCCCCGTCAGTGCCAGTGGTGCCCACAGGGCAGAGCCATCTTTCCCCACTCCCAGGAGGCACTCAGAGGCTAGACCCAGCCTGGAGCACTGTCTGCCCGGCCCCTGTCCTCTGACTGCTGAGGCTGCACTCCTAACACTTGGCCGAGGACGAGTCAAGCCCTTCCCGGCTGCCCGCGAGGTCCTGCACCAGAACCTGGCTGGTCAGTTACCCAGGTTGGCTAGACCACCTTTCCTAGCCTCCGCCAGAGAGAACCGTGTGACCATTCCAGTGGGAGGTGAAAGGGGTTACAGGGTCACTCCCAGTCCTGGGCTAGAAAAACCGCTGTGGGTCTGAGCTTTCCTCTTCCGCAGTGACCTTGGACGTCATGGGTAGAGGATGATGAGGCCACAAGACAGAGCGAGCCTGGGCCCTCAAGTCCCTCTTGGAGAAGTACCGCCCACCGATCAGATCAATCCCACTATGAACCTTACATGAACACGAAATAAGTTCCACTGCATTTGAGCCTGTATTTTGTTACATCAGCCCTTGTCCCTAACTAATAGGTTCTACCAGCATAAATAGTACAGTATATGTAACTAACAAAGGTAACAACTAGCCCCATTTTACAGATGAAGAAACTGAACACAGAGAAGCTACAGAACTTGTTTGAGGTTAGTAAGTGAAGAGGCCAGGATTTGAACCTGGGGCCTGGTTCTAGAGGTTCCACTCCTAAGCACTCTGCTAAGGCGGAACCCATGAGCCCCTGGCCATCTCACCCCCACCTGCGCCTCCTTGACACTTTCGCCCATGAAGTTGCTACACACACCGCAGGTTAAATAGAGGAGAAATGGTTTCCCAAAAGAAAGCAGGGGCACTGTGCCCAGAGGGCGAGCAGATGAGAGGCAGACAGAAGCCACACGCCCCCATACTCCAGGGGCCTGGGCCCATCCACACCAACCAGCAGCCTCCCATTTCACACAAGTCAGACACTTCTGGGAAAAACTCAATACCGCCATCCTCCTACCTAAACCGCTCTCTCCCTGTCAGGCCGCGGTCCCCTCGGACACTCCCCACCTCACTCCATTAATTCTCCCCCATCCTGTCCCTCCACCCCTCCCTCACTGCAAGCCTGCATTTCCACCATCTTAAAAACAGAAACAAAAACTTCCCTCCTCCTCTCTCTGAGCCACTGCTCTCTCAGCTCTACTTCATAGCCCTGAGCAGTTGCTTCAGCTCACCTGTTTCTCACCTCCCGCTTCCCTGCCTCACCACACGAGCCACCGAGGCAGCTCTGGCAGAGGCTGGCCTGCAGCCTGCAGGTGTCCTGCGATCCACAGCTGGCCTCTCCTTCTTCCCAGACCCACGGGTGGGCACTACCAACGGATCCTGTCTCCTTTGATGGAGCGAGGTCACCTACTCTCTAGGCCCACACCCAGTACCACTCCACACCTCTCAGCAGCCTCACAGGCACCCCAATTCACCAGAGCCGAACTGGTGACCTTCAGGTCGAACCCTGCTCTTCCTCCTGTGTCCCCAGCTAGAGAAGACCCCTGCCCGAGTGGCTGCAGAAAGAAACAGGAGAGTCCTTAGGGTCCCCTCCCTCTCAGCACAATCCAGGCGACCAGCGGTGCTCGAGTCACTGCTGACAGAGACGTCAAGTCTGCCCACTGCTCCCAGGCCTCCTGCCCTCCTCACCGAGCCATGGCTCCCTCAAAGCACATGTGCCCCATGGACACTGCAGCTCGGGGTGTAGAACTGACTGTAGACCGAGCGACTGTGTCACTGTCCTGCTCACAGGCCTTCAAGGCCCTCCCCAATCTACCTACCTACCTCTACTCCCACCGCCCCTTCCCCCAGCCTTCATGGCACCAGGCCTAGCTCTACAGCTCCTATTACTCAGCCCGTCTATCCCTTTGCAGTAGCCCAGAATGGGCAGAATGGTCTCCATCAGAGAGGTAAGAAAAGGCTGCTCAGAGAAAGGTAGGAACCTGCCCAGGGTCATACAGTGTAAGACAGGTTGTCCCTCGGCATGACCAGCACACTCCCCCCACCTTCCTTATATCCGCACCCGGCAGATGCAGGCCCCCAGCCCCTCCCTTCACTCAGCCGCTGCCCAGCCCACCACGGCTCAGTGTGGGGAAGTCAGGTGGATGGATAGGAAGGTGGCCACAAAGCCCCGCACAGAGGCTAGGATAAACACCGATGTTCCCTTTTATTTTTATTAATAAATTTAAGAACAGCTCTATCTTTTCTCCTCCGCCCAGAACAACTAAAACCAACTAAAAGGGGGTGTGGCCTGGGGGCAGAGGGTGCTAGGAGTCATAATCCTCTTCGTCCTCTGCATCAGGTCCTGAGGGGCCCGGGGGCGCTGGGGGCGGGGGCAGAGGCAGAGTCGAGGTGAAGGGCATGAAAGGTGTTGGGGGGCTGCAGGGCAGAAAGCAGGAGAGGAAGGTCAGGTTACTCTCCGGTGCCCACTGAGCCCCACACAGGAAGCATGGAGCCCACCACCCTCTGTACCAAAGGGGGGCCAAGCCCAGAAAATGGAAGGGCCCAGAACAGGTCCCTCAGCCCCAACCCAGGCCCACTCACTGCCCTGCCCAGGGGAAGGGGGTTCTGAGACACCGTCTCTGTCGTTAAGCCCTCCTCAGTGCCTCCCTTCCCGTTCCCCAACTCTGCCACCATGAACACAAGCAAGTGGCCAGAGGCCTGGAGGAACAAGTCTGCTGGTGTCTTCCTGGGGCCACTGCTTACCTCTGAAAGTGGGCAGGGGGGCGGCTGGCCTGGGGTGGGGCCTGCGGTGTCTCCTCTTCCCCATCAGTGTCAGTGTCCTCGGACTCGTCCTGGGAGCAAGACAGGGGTCAGAAATGACGAGAACGGCATGGGCCGTCACTGGAGCCCAGACCCCGGGAAATGGCAGGGACGGGAGGCTGACCTCACAGCCCCCATGGACAAAGCAGCCACAGGTGAGGATGGGGCCCGGCCTTCGGCCAGCGTGGAGGGGCAGGGCAGAGGGCTGGGGGCCTCCCTTACCTCCTGCTCCGAGTCTGTCCCTGATAGCTTCTTGTCCTTGCCTTTGCTTCCCATCCCACCATTCTTCCGGCTGCTGTTGCCTGGCTTCCGGCCCCTGTGGGAAGGGACAGTCCATCTCCCCGCTCCTTCACCAGCCCCCACCCACCTCCAACCCCCGTGGCCTTGGCCTTCTACACCCGGACGGACGCTTGGCCCTGGCTCCCCACCTGCGGGCACCCTTGTCCCCGTCCATGTGGTTGTCTTCCCCATCCCCCTGCATGTCAGGCACGGACGCCACCAGGTCCTTCAAGAAGTCAAACTGCTGCTCCAGCTCAATGCACTGCTTCCTGGAAGAGGCGGGAGGGGATGGCGTCTGGCAGCGCCCGGCTGCCTGGGCTCCCAGCGAGGGGCAGTCAGCAGCTCTGGATGTCGGAAGAAGGGAGCCCGGAAAACCTCCACCTTCATCTCCACCGGCCGACCTCGCCCCTTCGCGGTAACACCCCACCTTTCCCAAGTTCGAACCCACCGGCCTCTACGGCCTCGCTGGTCTCCCAGGAGCCTCCCGCCTGCAGCCTCCGGGGCCGGGGCCTGCGGGCTGGGGCCTCCGAGGACCCAGCCTCTCTTAAGCGTGTGAGCTCCGGGGACCGAAGCCCACAGGCCCCTGTCTGCGCGGCCACTCACAGGTGGGACGTGGTCATGGTCTTGGCGTTCCGGGACTGGGTCACCTGGCAGGCCTTCTTCAACAGCGACTCCAGGAACAGCTCCAGGGCCCGGGCTCGGAACGTCAAGGAGAACCCCGCGGGAGCACCCCAGGCCGCCCCCCGCCCCCACGGCCCTCGCCCCGGCCGCCCCCGACAGGATACAGATGATGACGGGCACCGCCGCCGCCACCTTTCCAATTTCCTCGTCCGTCTGCAT